AGTTGTAACAGAATTGGGTTACTGAACTGGGCCGCACACAAGGATTGTTCACAGTAAATTAGTGTTCCACCCTGCGTGAACAAGCTGATTCAAAACTTCTGTATAGTCATCAGACAAAGAAGCTCTACTCACATTCCATTTCAATTTTCAAATAACCAGCTCCTTTTCATTATGACATTTTTTTATCTGCTTGTACACAAACTGACGGATTTCTAACCCTTCTTTCTCCCTCATCTGATTCTCCGTTAACTAAATGAAGAACATACTGTAAGTGTTAAATAGACTGCAATTAAATTTCATTTTGTGCTATGAACAGTTTACTATCTTAGCCTAGGATACGCTAAGTAGCTCAATGATTGTAGGTTTGCCATAATCGTTGACTATCAACTTTATAACTGACCTTCAGACTGAAAATAAGCTTCAAGTAGCATTCAGTGACAGAAATCGATATCGACACGTTAAAATATGCAGTACGTCAAAAAAAACCTGTAAGTTTCAATGTCGAATTAATTCACAAAAACATATAACCAGTCGACGCAGGAACCCATGATAGCATTGAGTCCGGATATACCATCTTTCGTTTCAGCCTTCCAGTGGGAAAATATTAGATACCTGGGGCTACATTCCTTGGATACCATGGAGGGCTGTTTGAATTCTGGCGGTTAGTCAATAAATCTCGTCTATTCGAAAAGTTGGGTAGGTTTGAGATAGTGTACATATTTCATTTCACTGGGTTATTATGTCACTCGAGTTTCTTATTTTGTTTTCAGGGCGAATCTCAAGAGACTGAATCGTAGATTTGTATTTATAGTCCAAATTTAATAAGTCTTTCTTCTAACAGGTGTGAAAATTCGTTCTAAATTAATGTCTTGTAATTCTTGCGCCCTACACATCATGTCTGTGTCACTTAGATTATATTGCTTCTCTACAAAATTTTCACATTGCATCTGAGCTAAACTGTGTCATAACCTTTCAACAATTACCAGATCTTATACCCTGGTTTGATAAATCCAACAGTATGTTGTTTTAACTGAACAGGGAAATCTGATTTCATTTTCTATGACTGCTTGCAGATATGTTAAACACTGGCACCTAAAAATAGGCTCTGGAATGACGGTACAACATAACAAATAGGTTCAGGTTAAAGATTAAGCCATTACGTTGGTTGGCGTAAGATCAGTCGGTCACTTTTTAGGTTGAGTTGTTGTTATTATCAGTTAGGTGGCTGGAAAAATATGCAATTAAGATAAAAGGAAATCTTTATTTTTCGATGAATTTCGGCCAAATCTTGTGATCTAAACAGCCAACACATATACGATTTTCTTCGGTCTTTCTCTATGTCAAAATGTACTGTGTGTTGACTGCAGGTATAAAAGATGAGCTCATTTTCCAGGAAGTACCTAGAGACTGGCACCCAACTGCATCTTACTTTACGATGCCGAAAAAATTATCGAGAAAGCTGTAATAGTATTGTCTGTAACACTCAAAACTGTCACCCAACGCATTGTGTGGTTCTCAGGGAAACCTCAAATGCACAGTGGCCCTCATGGTGAAACTCACACAACCAGCCTAGGGTGAATTAGAAGGCTGTCTTCACGAAATTTACGGGCTTTCAACAGAGTGCCTCATGTTAAGTGGTTCGTGGAACTGGAAGTTTCGAAATCACAGACTGCCTACTCATCCAGATCTCTTTTTCCGTAGGTGAAAAAGTAAGGATCACCTTCACACTGTCTCACTTAATAACAATATGCATTGATATGCTGCAAGGCACTGTGTTTAGTCTTTTCCATTCACCCTATGCCTAGGTACATCATATATCTGTACAAAATTATATTCCTGCACTCTACATATCTATACAGAAGCAGGACGGCTAACTGCAATCAAACATCACAATACTTTAAATAAGTTCAAAGAATGGAGGTGAGCTTACTACGTTCATCAGGATTTAAATGCCATCGGTTCAGACTCACACCCATCAACGAGTCATTGTAAGTCAAGGCATAAAAACTGCGTCATACTGCCAGTCATTTGCAGTTTACAACTTTGAAACTGTGTGAGTAATAACTTATGCTTTCAGTGAAGATACCAGTGAAAAGTCCATCACTTTAAATTCCTCTCTAGGCAGTCAACTTCCTCCTAGAACCATTGATGTACATTAGCAGGTGTGACTGACATGCCATGTAAGGAACAATTTAAAATCGTTTCTCACAACACGCTTAAAGATAATCTACGGGTGGTCTTCAAAATTTCAAGGAATGATATCTCCTTTCCCTTTTTCACCGGATCGGAAAATCGAAGAGAACTTAGAAAGATTGTCCGAAGAATAATGAGGCATTACATTACTGATCAGGTCAGTTAGTGGGTGTTCAAATCTTAGTAGAGAGTCCCTTTAGAAAGACAGCTGACAAACACAGTTAATTAACAAAAGATCAATAAAATAAGCTCGAGGTCATCTATCCTTAACCATAAATATGAATCGGTTTGGGCTGGACTTATTGGCAGTGGAAAGTGGCACACATCAGCTGAGTGCTTCAGAAATTTGCTGTCATCGTGATGTTGTGTTTGGGTTGTTTTATGTTGTTTTCAGGCGTTTTTTCGTCTGAAATGCATTATAATTACCATATTTTAACCAAAAAGCTTGGAAAAATGGAGGAAAGTAGTCGTTTTCAACATTTTGACTGAACATCTAGTAATCATCGAACTTAGTTGTTACTGTGCGTCAGGAATGTTAAAATTCCTTGCAAGTTGCTAGTCACGGTAAGGAGCTTGAAACAATTTAGGTAAATTGAAAATATTTTTCTGAATGGTGAAGAAGTGTTTTGAAATTAAGGACTGTGAAAATTTCACCTGCTCACAAGAGTTTACAGCTGTTAAGGAATGTGAGTAGATTGGTTGGAAAAATAACAGTGGGGAGACAATCTTTTAACTAGGACATGCTTTGTTTCGTAGCACTCATTTAGTAGTGACGTTTCGTAACACATCCTTTACTGCCTTTACTTTCCAGGTTACTATCCTGACCACCACAATCGTTCAACTTATTTATAGGCTTTCATGAAGCATAAACAGAGGATATGCGTGTTAATGATGAAATATTTGTGATATTACAAATGTACTTGTCGAAATAAATGTTTCTAAAATGTTTTACAAGCTATTTATACATCAGTAATACGAATCGTTTGCCGAAATGAAAAGTGATGCCAAATTGGAATACGTAATATGCGTAAAAAGTCATAATTGCGTCCGATTGAAATGGATGTTTTCAGGTACTTTTGTTGCTTTTCAGTAATTGCTTCCGCTAGTAGACTGTAGACAGGTGAAATGCACACCAGAAGCCTATGTGATAAGTTACTATAGCAAAATAATCAATGAAGTTGAGTAACGTGGTCAACTAATAAGTTTAGGTGTCAGTGTGATCGTGTGACAGCCTATTGACACTAAATGCGAACACAAGAAGAGTGATGTAGTCGTCTTTTCATTACTTAAAGATTTCCTCTAATACAATGTTGTTAAACGCAACATAAGAATAATAGACTACTTGTGATAGATAGAATATACGCTTGAAGTGCCTAGACTAACAATAGAGATCGTGTGCAGTCTACGTGTGCTAGGTTATATTTCGTTATTACGATACAAACATATATTCGAAGGCTATTTTCCTCTTAACACCAGTGTGTAAACGGATTAAATGTAACTGAAGCATTTTATGCAAGGCTTAATGACACACTGAGGAAATAATAACGGTTTACGACCTTGACGCATTTCACAAAAGTATTACTACAATGCCTATCTTTCTCTTTAACTGTACAGTGTCCTCAAAATGAAAAGTAAAAGATTAAAGGTAGTAGACATAAATGCACATATTTAGAAAAGAACAATACTAAACCAAATTAAAAATAGTTTTGTATGGAACAGTACATATTTACACAGAAATGAGTTTATAACAATCCAGTTAAAAAATCACAGTTGTAGATGCTTTATAGCTGCATCATAGTCAATAAAAAGTCCACTAATAATTTTATCCACAAGATGTGGATCAGTTTCCCTCAGTTGATAGTGGCACTGGACCAGTCTTTGCAGTTTTCACCACCACCAGATCCTCCAGCAGAAACTGAATATGATCTTTCCACGCAAACATAGAGATTGTATTCCTTTGACTACCTTCGGCATCATTGAGAAATATCTGAGAGTATATACCTATCATATGAATGGATCTTACCTCAGGTGAACAATTCCTTATCTTAGGCACAATGAATATATATATGGCGTCGGTGGCGCAGTGGTTAGGACTCTCGCCGACCATGCACATGGTCCGAGGTTCGATCCCCCGCCGACGCACACCCGATATCTATGGTCGGCCTGCAAAATTCGGGCTACCGATATCCATGCTGAAAATTCCATACTTGTACTAAAAATACGGTGTGGCATTAAGCTGTAACCAAAATAAATAAATAATACACATATATATATCATAGTTTCTCTTCTGCGAAAAAGCCAATATATTACAGAACTGCCTCTCTTATCCATCCGTTACAGACAACTGAAAGAGACTAAATCTTCAAAATTTATACCTCTTTGGTTAAGTCACACAATAATACTCTTTTTGTAGGCGGATCCAATGTATATCACATATGTGATATGTATACATACATGAACTTGTTAACTTAAGCTGTAAAATGTAATGTCTATCTGATTTTATTACTGTTTCAAAGCCCGCCTCAGTAACGTGCAGTATACATTAGCCGCAACGTTTACGCAAAGGAAAATCTACCAATCACTATGTGGATAAGTGACCTTCGAGTGCTCAACTTCACCACAAACCGTGTGTGCCACAATCCATTCCCAGACTTATTTGGTATGTTGGCTGAAACTTCCCTTGGAGAACTTTTTGTGGATAAATTTTCGTAAAATTTTGTTTTATGTTTTCTGGATTGATAGGAACCTTCATTTTCCGAATGTTGTCGGCCTTCCATTTTTGCGAATAAAATTTTGAAACCCGGCAGATTTAACAAGCGTTTCAACCCAAGGTCAAGGTCAGGGCCCGGCAGGTTGTTAAATTTTCCCTATAATGATTTCACTATTACTGTGTTTTTCGGCTTATAGATTAACTTTCAGAGTCTCACTTTTTTATCCTTTCGTTGGTGCTTGGACTGAAAGTGCTGTCAACAATGAGTGTATATGGCTTTTATGTGATAAGCGAGTCTGGTTCACTTCAGTTTTACTACGACCATTCAGATGTTTGTGTGGACGTTGAAAAGAAGTATGAATTTCCGCTCCCTTTCCATTTTAAGATTGTTGATGGTAGACTCATAGTGGATTTCGGTGCTTCTGACGATGTTAAAATAGGATATACTGTTATATCTGTAGATGGTATACCTGCAAAAGGGGTCTTACTGGAAGACAACAGGGACATACTAAAAGTAAGTTTCAGTGCGTTGAATTTCACATATGAATTTAAAGTCCACACCTTTCTTAAGCAAATGTGTGTGATTACTGAAATAAAATCCTTTGGTATTGATGCTCTCAGTTAGTGCTGAATCAGGATTTGCATTCTAAGTTGAGTTAAGTTGCAAACAACTGTGCTGCCATCCTTCAAAAATCCGAAGAAATTTCTCATACGTTCTTAAAACAAGATTAAAAGTAGAGTTTTATAAGTCCGGCAATTTTTGATGGGACGCTTCCAAAGAGAAAGTAGATCTCTGCAGATATATATATATATATATATATATATAGCGAGGATTAATGTAGGCAACAAGAGCCTTCTATCCTTATAATCTGAATCTGACTCTTCATCTGGCTACTCAATATACTGTTATATATATATATATATATATATATATAAGTACTTTGAATATGACCTTTTTTGGCATGATTTATTCATTGTCACTTATGTAGAAAGTATTTAGCTGAGAAGTTCAACCATATCCGATGGATTCATTAAATTATACTTTATTAACACTTGTTACTTTTAAATCTGTTGTCCTGTTATTCGCTTCACTAACTAAATGTTATGTATTATCCTACTAGATTAGTATTTTATACATGTATGTGTACGTGAATATATTTTTTTAAATTTCAGTAAGACTCAACAGCGAAAATAATGACTGTGTCGTAAGGTTAAATCTGTTTCTTACTGGCGTTTTATGGTTATTGGGTAAGGTACATTGTTTAGACCTGAGATTATTACTGTATAGAAAAGGATTTTTGGTAGACAGAAATGGAAGACTGACTCACTTTGCGAAATAGAACTTTGCACACAAGTGCAGCAGTTCAACTTGTCATACACTACACAGCACACAAACTTAAGGAAAAAATTCAACGAGTCTGCGCAAGAAATATTAATAATCATGAAGAATCATGATGATTCGATGTATCTGGGAGCTCAAAGAGAATGAATGCACTTGCGCCATGTCAACAGCAGTCTCTTACCATTGGTTCTTCGTGCTTCAAGCATCCCAGACAGTTAGTCCATACCCTACTTGGGTTTAACAAAGGGTCAGACTTGATAAATGAATCCCATGTTTAGATTCAACCATTCCAGATAGTTTCCCAACGTATTTCTCTGTCAACTGACATTGCTGTATAAGGGTGATGCCCTGGTATATGCAATATGTGTCCTAGCCACATCAACCGATGTATTCGATTTCATCATAGATGTACTAATGGACTTAACCCTAAGTGACTTCAGCGACTTAGGGATTGACTTGTTGTCAGGGTATAATTTCGTTGACTTACAATACGCAAATGATATAGTCCTTCTAGGTGAAGACGCTGACTAAATGCAGAGTCTTCTGAACACTTTGAGCTGCAATCTGCAGATGTTTGGCATGCGATTCGCTCCTGCCAAATGTAAGATGCTGCTGCAGGACTGAACTACATTGAATCCTAGCTTACAATAGGGGATGAAGTGGTAGAGTGTGTTGACCACTACTTCACTTATTTGGGAAGTTGCATCAGCCACTCTCAGCGGGATGGTCGTTGACCAAATCTCAGCCCGAATACAGAAGCCTAGTTTCGCATATGCCAGTTTACGCCGTCTCTGGAATTGACGTAATATTCGGCTGATTGTCGACCAAAGGGCGTGTGTACTGCTCAGCAGTCCGCTCCGTCCTCCTTTATGGCTGTGAGGTATGGCCATTGACAGTGGAAAGCATAAAAAGACTACCTAACTTTGATCATAGGTGTCTGCGTTCTATCTCCCGTATGAAATGGTATAATAAAGTGAGCAATATTGAGGTTAGGTATCGGTCGAGTACTAGGTAAAGAGGGGAAATCAGTAGACGATGCTGTGAAGTTACATCGACTAAGTGAGATGGTTAGGACATGTGTTACGCATACCTGCCTAGCCATCGATCTCCTTCCTCGACAATGGGCAATGTTAGCTGACATAGGATGGATCAGGTTAGAAAAGAGCTAGCCAGTGGTGGTCAAACCAAAACATGGCTTCATCAGTGAATGAAATCCACAAAGTTAGTTTACGTCAGTTTGCATTTATTTTTACTTTCTTCTCATTCTTTATGTGCTACATGGAGTGTTGCAGCTCAAACTGCTGCACGTCGGTGCAAAGTTCTATGTTGAAACCATTTATTCAGATATAAGCCTTTATTCCCTCCTCATACGACTTCGTATACGTCACCCTTCAACAAATGAGCAACTCGCCATTTGCCATTCGGTTTTGAAACCAATGCAAAGTAGAGACAGTAAACAGATATAAGGCAAAAAGAATAGTAGTATCCAAGAACAATATGGCTTTATCGGGTACTACGAGTCACAGAGAGTGGATGCATATGGGCCATTCAGAAAGATTTTTGGCCATATCACCAATTGTCTCCAACCATTGGTGTTTACCGTCCCGAGGACTCCATCCAGGAAGTCTACACCTTCCCACGTGACGTAAACTGACTTTGTGGATTTCATTCACTGATGAAGCGATGTTTTGGTTTGACCACCACTGGCTAGCTCTTTTCTAACCTGATCCATCCTATGTCAGCTAACATTGCCCATTGTCGAGGAAGGAGATCGATGGCTAGGCAGGTATGCGTAACACATGTCCTAACCATCTCACTTAGTCGATGTAACTTCACAGCATCGTCTACTGATTTCCCCTCTTTACCTAGTACTCGACCGATACCTAACCTCAATATTGCTCACTTTATTATACCATTTCATACGGGAGATAGAACGCAGACACCTATGATCAAAGTTAGGTAGTCTTTTTATGCTTTCCACTGTCAATGGCCATACCTCACAGCCATAAAGGAGGACGGAGCGGACTGCTGAGCAGTACACACGCCCTTTGGTCAATATCATTTTGTAGAAAGAATTATGTGGAATCTGGGACCAGTTAAAAAAAAGGCAGTAGCGAGCAGAGTGAAATGCAGGTGTGTTGCTTTAGCCCTATGTTCCACTGGGAATCTCAGAGAGTAATAATATTATTAATATAATTAGGCTGTGGTTGCACGGAATTATAAGATGAATCGACTGCATTAAAGTTCAGAAGGCTATGTGGTAAACATATTAACTTCGACTTATTACAGTTAAACGAGAATAGCCCTCAGTGTAAATGGCTTTGAATATAACTTAAACTGCTTTCGATCTTGTCTGTTTCTAGCCAACCTTGGTGAAATAGTAGAACATGTAGGGACATTGCTTTCAACTAATATGGTTCGCTTCGTTAAAGCGATATTCACGCCCGACCATCAAATTAAAGTAGAAGTTGTCGAATCAATAGTTTTGAACTTATGGAATAAGACTGCTGGTGATGCGGCTCAAAGCCGTTCTAAATAGTACAGATGCATTCACTCTTTATAAACTCATATCCTTCAAATTCTCATTACTCTCCATTTCCTTGGTGTCTCTTTCGGAGATCTCCATTCATTACAGTGTCTTTGAATTCTTTCCTTTGCGTTTGTGGGCTGTATGGAGTGAGGTGACTCGGAGAGGTGTACGTTTGTGCAAAGGAATTAGTGAAAAGAAGGAGAATTTTAAGGGTTCAATTGTAGATTCAGATGAATCGTTTAACTGGTTATACTGAAGTAATTTACTATAAGTGTAATTGTAAATAACTAATTTTTGTGCGCAATTTTCACCATTCTGTTATGCAATACTACTACTATTACTATTACTACTACTACCTTTTTTACAATTGTAAGACATGCAGTTTATTTTTAAAGATTTTTTCAGATAAAAACAACTTCCCACTGACTGTAAAACTTGGAAGACCTCGACTACGTCCAAACGATCGTATTCATCTTGCCAGCATGTTTCATCCATTACACTCAATGGCTCGACTTCTTTCGCCTATCCCAGATACCAAGTGTAATTTTGTTGGACCAGTTATTAGTGACAAGAAAACTCCACGTGTTTGGAATTCAGGCATTCAAACTTTAGAGACAGAGTGCTGTCGTGTGCATTGTTTAGAGACGCATACAGGTGTGAAATTCTTACTTGTCACTGATGTCAAATTGCCAATGGCGTCGCGTGAAGCTCTTCGTAGGGTATATGAAGCGTATACAGATTTTGTGCTGAAGAATCCATTCTACGCTCCAAATCAACCATTCAATTATGAATTTTTTACAAATCAAATTAAAACTATATGTGATCAGGTTGAAAAGGGAATGTATGTATTAAATTAGATTTTTTTTTGTATTTATACAAGGCTAATTGTATTGTCCTACACCCTATCAAACCATATCATGTTAATATTTGCTATCCTGTTTTCTGTAACATTCTTTCTTATCATGAACCATATTTGTGCTATACACTTGAACATACTGTGTTATTCTTATTTCCTACAAAGACTACAGCACTCAGAATTATAACGAAGTGACCGAAAGCGATTCACATCTACTGTCATCTGTGGTATAGGCGAGATATCCAGCTATTCATAAAAGGACCTATTTACGGCGCAACAGTTCACTCTATTCTTATTTATAGCTATGAGGTGTGGCCGTTGAAAGTAAGAGATATGACGAGGCTGCTAGTTGTCTTTTACTATAGATGTTTCGTTCTATTTCGCATGTTAAGTGGTATAGTTCGGCATGTAATATTGAAGTTAGGCGCAGTGTTAAGTTAGCAGGATAAGTCAATCGATCAGGTTGTGAAGCTATATCAGTTGCGATTGATAGGATACGTGTGGCGCCCACTGAGTCACTATCTTTCTCATCAAGCAATGTTAGCCGAGATAGGATCAGTTTGGAAAAGAGATAATGTGGTGGTAAAACCGAACTATAGCATCAATTTATGAGGTCTTTGACTGTTTGTTTGAGCTACACAAGGAGGCGTGGACTACCTGGCTGAGTTCCTTGAGGTGCTTATTACCAATGGTTAGTGACTTGGCTCAATTATTGTCAATGGCTTAGATGCATTCACTCATTGTGATCTCCGACATCTCATGTTACTGTTCTTTCTTTCTTCCTTAAATTTTGGCTCATGACAACTCCTCCGAATATTTTCGCCTACATTTGTTGGTTGTATGGAGTGGCAAATTGAACTAGTGGAAAGTTTTGTGTTGATTATTATTATTGTTCCCTTGGGTTCCTAGTGGAACATAGGGCTTCAACTGCACGTCTCCACTTGCTTCTGTCTTCTGCTGTACTTCACCTGCATCCATGTTAATCCATAATGTTTCAGCTCCTCTTCACACGATATCCTCCATGTCACCCACCATTGGACGTCCCACTCGCCACTTCCCTTTCGGGTTCCACTCGAGGGCCTGACGCACGATGTCACCCAACGGCCTCCTCAGCGAGTGTCCAATCCATCTCCACTTTCTCCTGCATATTTGTTGAGCGATTGGTTCTTGTTTTGTTTGTTCCCATAGCTTTTTGTTTGTGATTCTTTCCGGCCATCTGATCTTCACTATAGAGCGAAGACAGTTGTTGATAAAGGTCTGCAACCTGTTGTGTTGAGGACTTAGCCAATTACGTTTATGAGTTTTTGCCGACTATTCTCTCAAATGATTGTGATTCAGTGTTGTTTAGATATGTAGATGTTGAGTGATCTAGTATTAGAAATAAGAAAAAATAGTTTAGCTAAGAGTCTCTTTTGGGCGAATTCATTCACTTAGCTGTACAGTCGCAATCATGCATATATATATATATATATATATACATAATTTTTTGATACTTGCCTCCATATACATATATATATATATATATGTATATATATATATATATAAAGACTAGTTTGGGTTGTTGCTTATACCACCAAAATATTTCAAAAATGTGGCGAGTAACTAAAATTGTGACTAGGAGGAGGGGGGGTAAAGATCAGTAACTTTAGACCGCGGTTATGTAATATGAAAACGTTTTGGAAAAAAAACAGATGTTAACGTGAAAGTATGGAGACAAGTATCAAAAAAATTATGTAATGAGTGAAAAGAGTAAATAGAAGTCTACTTAAGAAAATGAAGATACTAAATGTCAAACGAAATTCTCAAAATAGTTTAACTCGGAAGGGTGGAGAAGTTCCTTCTGAGTACATCAGTCAGGGTTTTCCATCCGAATTGCTAAGGCATCGACAATGCAAAGTAGGCGATAGCTCATCGTTTCTGGGAAGCTTCTTTTGACCTCATGGATAACATTGAATGAATTCTCCTTGCATATTGAGTGGCCAGTGTTAAGTATATGTTCAGTTATAGCACTCCTCATTGATCCACTGTTGCCTTTTCGTAGCCAAGTGGGATAATGTTCTTTGACTCTTTTAGGTAAAAGCACGCATCGAACGTTCTATATATCACGCTTCACATGAGCAAGTAAATTGGTAGATACATATAGAAGTGGTCAGATGCGATTGTTTACCTTTGGAGTTGTTGAAGAACCTTTTTTTAGCAAGAGAATGCCAGTCGTAGTGTAGCAGAGAAAAAATTTCCCTTTCAGGCTGTTAGATGTCTAGATATTGTATTAACTTCGACTACCAAGAATTTCTGATTACAAATAAAATAAGTTGATTGTCAGCTGTGAAACAATTCCGCATCAAATCAGGCAGGCTGGAAAAATGACAATGAATAAAAAAGGATTTGAACAATGAAATGCATCATTTTGAGAATATGAGAAGGCCAACATACCCATACTTCTGATATTAGTCCCAACATATCACACTTACTAGTTTAAACCATTTCGTAACTCATACTATTAATTGGTATGATCATCTGCAGTTAGTGGTGTGACAGGCATGCATTGTTCCTGGAGTGAGCCTCTGGGCTCTTGACTTCCAAATCTCAGTATGACTCGGGTTCGAACCTCGCTCCATCTACTAAAGTTTGGGTAGCCAGGTAATATCATCAGCCCTCACACAACAGGTGTGCCTTTTTTTCCTTTTATGGCTGTGAGGCATGGCCATTGACAGTGGAAGGCATAAAAGGACTACCTAACTTTGATCATAGGTATCTGCGTTCTATCTCCCGTGTGAAATGGTATAATAAAGTGAGCAATATTGAGGTTAGGTATCGGTCGAGTACTAGGTAAGGAGGGGAAATCAGTAGACGATGCTGTGAAGTTACATCGACTAAGTGAGATGGTTAGGACATGTGTTACGCATACCTGCCTAGCCATCGATCTCCTTCCTCGACAATGAGCAATGTTAGCTGACATAGGATGAATCAGGTTAGAAAAGAGCTAGCCAGTGGTGGTCAAACCAAAACATGGCTTCATCAGTGAATGGAATCCACAAAAGTTAGTTTAAGTGACGTGGGAAGGTGTAGACTTTCTGGTTGGAGTCATCGGGACGGTAAACACCAATGGTTGGAGACAATTGGTGACATGGCTCAAAATCATCCTCCTCAGTGATCTACCATACCCCCAAGGATCATCCTGTTGTTTTTCTATGTAACTATTCTTCCTTCCTCACAACTCCTCCGAATCTCTTTTGTTTTCCTTTATGTGCTTTATGGAGTGTGTCGACTCGAACTGCTGCACGTCTGTGCAAAGTTGAAACCAGTCAGCATTGAATAAGTCATCCATCCTTAACTTCAGTACAACTTTCTTGGTAGTTTCATCGAAAGTACCTAGCTCAGCAGTTACATTTTAGCCTATAAGTTTCAAGTTCACAACCTACACTCCATTGACTTTCATGTGAGAAATTGAGTAGTAGCCAAAAACAACAGTAGTGGAAAAGGCTGAATTGCCTAATAAACTATAAGTGTTGATAAATACTAGAATCTCTCATTCCACACAGGTGTTGTGTAGGTAAATTTCTGTATTTAACTTCCCGGATAGGTTGTCGCACACCTCTACTATTCCAAATATCATGACTTAAAAGTCTGTCTGAATGAGGAGTACTCTTTCCAGATTCTTGTAGTTACAAAATCACTTGTTATCGTTATAATAATAGACAGGCTTACGATGATGAGTGCATTTCACCTTATTTTAGCTATATATTCCAGAGCATCTACGGTTTTAGTAATAATAATAATAATAATTTGCTTTATTCCAAGACAGTACTCATGATACAGTGTAGAGTTTTCGGCATTTTGTACAAAAATACTGAACAGCAACGACAGGAAAATGACATTGCAGGGTACACTTAACCGAAATTAATAATAGCAACTTTTGACATTAGTAGAAACAGTAGGGTAAAAATGCACAAATCTAAAATGTTACGAATAATAATAATATTATTACTGTTAATAACATAATATTATAAGGTAATGAGAATAGTTTCATCATAAAATTACAAGTATAGGAGAATAACTGAGTCACTTTTTATGCTAATTACAAATTAAGTCATAAGTTTCACCTTTAACACTATCTTTATCACACAGAACGTCGATAGGCGAGCCAAATAGGACATCGTTGAGTTTTCATACTTGGTTGTGCGAGCATATAATCTTTTATAATGACATCTAGTCCTGATTGATGAGATTCACGGCAGGAAGTGCTGAGAACAGAGAGGATGTTGGGAGTCAGACAATATGGATTTAGACCATTTCTCAGATGAATTGTTCAGGTGTCTGTTGACTATGATAGTAACGAGTTGACTAAGTGACACACAACCTACCCTACTAACAACCCTTCGCAATATCACATAGCCCTTTTTGAGCATACCAAGAAAGACTAAGCGCGAGCAATAAATAACAATAGGTGAGATGGAAGCGTTAACAAATAGTAAAAGTAGAGGTTGATTAAATCCAGATTGTCTTAACTTCTCTAATGTAGTAGGTTAGAGGGAACATTATCATAGAAACAGACAGGAAGGTCAGGAGACAGAATTATTTCAAAGTATTTTATGCTTGATTCATCCTCTATATTAGTGCCCTCTAAGCTAAAAGCGTCGTGTAAGCTAACGAGTTCGTTAAGATTAAGTTTGTTCCTGAAGATGAAGTTCACTATCTAACATCTGGAGGGATTTAACGTAAGACTCTTAGGTTTAGACCACTGGCTAGTGTCGGACAGAAAGCTATTCAGTAAGTTTAGAACAGTTGGCTCGGGAAGTAATTGACGAAGAGACAGTAAGGTCGTCAGCATATTTAACGAAGTTGATCTGTTCTGAACTAGTCATGTAAAAAAGCAAGAAAAACGAAAAGAAGCGAGAACAGCACCTTGTGGGACACCGGCTTCAGTAGGCAAGGCAGAGGAAGATTCACCTTAATATACAGTCTACTGCTTTCTTTCTGAGAAATAGGAGTGAAACCAGCATTATTTTCCCCAGTGACCCTGCATTACTTACGAGAAAAAGTGTTCACCAGTTACCTTCGTCTTTTTGTTACAATTTTCTATAGCCTTCAATATGCTATAGATAACCAGGTATATATCGAACCTACCCATTGCGTAGTTAG